TCACTCGTACGATTGACAACAAATTTTCATCAAAGCAAGTTTATACAACGTTGCACAGTTATTCAAACCCATGAAACACACAGCATCACGCCAAACCAGTGACCCTATGAGAGGGCATTTACCTGATTCATCCTTTAAGGCTTGTATGGTGTCAAGGTCTGGTATAAAACGGCGGTAAAAGAGTTGCAGAGGCCGAAATTACGTGCGACTAATGATGTTGGGAGGCGAAAATTTGAAATTTGAACTTTGGGAGGATGGCTGATATCCTTCAGCAGAAACATATGCTAGAAATCAATGCAAACAGATCACAATCACTTATTGATGATTGACAGCCTCGTGTCTTGGAAACGCTGAAAAATTATACGGATGATGTAATGCTCCTGCTGCGCTAGACTTCAATAAATCATCATACAGGATGCATAGAAAATCAAGGCCCCGCAGCGACTCGCAATAAAGCGCTTGAATTATCTTGCAGCGTTTGAGAGCCGAAAGGCTTTTACGTAATCGAAAATAGCCAAAAGGGTTTTATGGCAGTTTTTGAAATGTGGACTGTTCACAGGAATTGTGTCCTCTTAACCAGTATTTTGAGATATATTTTTCACAGCAAAGAAGAGGAGAAATCTTGTATGTGTGTTTGGGTACGGTCTGGTAGTACGTTGTTAGGCGCAGTAATCTCCACAGGTCCTCCATCCACTGGGGCTGGGTTGAACCATGTTGAAGTGCAGCAAGACCAAATATCTTTGAGGACGAATGATGCCTAACTTGAAGCATGATTCAAAATCAAACTGGAGGTGAGTTCATGTGGCCAGTTCCAGGTCAACCAATAGCATGGCATTCATGAAAATAATGACTCAGCGGATTTTGGCACTTAGGGTATACCCAATCCCTTTTATCATGACTCAATGTCTTTAACTGATCTTCTAAATGCTCGTCACACAAAACAGCCTTTTCACCTCTCTGAGTCTGCCTGTACCGCATTTACGGCTGTCAAATCTGCTTTAGCAACCAAAACTTTACTCCGCCATCCAGTCCCTAGAGCTCCATACAGTCTGATGACTGATGCTTAAAATATTGCGGTTGGTGCCGTACTTCAGCAATACATAGATGGTACCTGGCACCCTCTGTCCTTTTTCTCAAAGCGATTACAACCATCGGAAACAAAAAACAGTACTTTCGGTAAAGAAATACTTGCAGTATACCTTTCCATTCGCCACTTCCGTCATATTCTTGAAGGTCGTCAGTTCTTCATTTTAACGGATCACAAGCCTCTAATACATGCCATTTCTTCAGCATCTTCTCGTCATTCGCCTAGGGAGATTCGACATCTGGACTTTATATCGCAATTTACAACAGATATTCGACACATTCAAGGAATTAAAAACCCTGCTGCTGATGCCCTGTCACGCCTTCATATTAATTCTATCCATTCATCGATCGATTTCTCCCAACTTGCTGATGCACAACAATTTGATGAAGAACTTTCGCAGGTAAAAGCATCCACATCCTTACAGTTTTGTGACATTCCGCTCCCATTGTCGAACAAAACGATTCTTTGTGATACTTCTACAGGAAATCCTCGGCCATATATTCCAGCTCTCCACCGTCGTGCTGTCTTTGATAGTTTACATTCTGTTTCACATCCTGGAATTCGTGCCACACAAAAACTTATTACGCAGCGTTTCATTTGGCCGGGCATGAACAAGGAAATTCGCCAGTGGACCAAATCGTGCCTTAAAGGTGAACTGACACGCAAAACTATTTTTTGATATAATGTAGAAAACGATGCATGGAATCTTAATTTCAAGTTTTCGGTTAATTATTATTGTCCGTTTTGACGCAATTCCGCTCTAAATGTCATGAAATTATCGTCGAGTGTTCGACCATTGTCGGCATTTCATGTGACCCAGTGCGTGTGACGTCACAAACACCATGTTTTTATTCCTTGAATGGAAATCACGCACGGACTGGACCGTTCAGTTCATCTTGTTCAGTTACTATTCGAGGAGATCTACGTAGCCTTTGATCCAAAATAATGAAAAATCGAGGCTAATGAAATATACGAAGGATATGTGCTGGCTGGTACTGCGTTATGTTAGGAGGGAATTTAAGTTTGGAAGGAATAGGCACTTTTAGCTGCTCGAAGAAATTCTCAATTCTGAAGTCAATCATGCGGACGAATGTAAGAATCTTTTCAATGATCATGAATCTAGCTTTTTTTTCGAATAAATTCAGTATATTATTACTTCGATAGATTATTTCTACATCCATATAAATCATGAAAGTTATTTTATTTTTGGTTTGCAAACTCATCGGTTCACCCGAGTTACAGGAGTGCAGCGGCCTGGGAGTTGAAAATTTTACTAAGTTGTTTTCCTGCAAATAGCGATTCGATCGTACCAGGTTCTTAACCCCTGAAAATCTTTCATGTGATTGAATAAAAAATATGCCAAAAATGAGTGACTTAAATTTGAAATCTTTACTGCGAATATTGAAGTTAACCTGGATCAAAGACCGAAATTAACTTTGGGGGGGGGGGGGTGATGGCTGATAAATTAGTCTAACAGCAGCCGTATTTAACAAAATAAAAGTATTTTACTTAGGTTTCCAGAAAATGAAAATCCTGTCGATATATTTATCGCTACCATTATACGATATGTTGGCCCGCCACACACTGAGTCCTCCAAGACGGAGGAAGGGCCTCAAACGAGTTGGATAATACGATATTCTTGCAAATCTTATTATGAAAGGTTTGTAAAGGAGTCATAATCTGTTTTCCAATTGGGATGTCGAAATGGAGCCAAAACCTACTCAATTAATGTATCGGTGCTCATCCGAAAAGTCATAAAAGCATGCCTTTTCAGACTGTCGTGTTGATCAAGTGATGTGAACATGGTGTTTGTGACGTCACGATTATGCGGAAGGCTCGAGCGAACTCATCCGTGCTCGGATAATGCTCGGTGGCTTACTTTGACGCTCAATAACTCGAAAACTGTGTTGAATATTTAAAAAAAATAATGTATCAGGTATTTATGCTCGATATGCCTTCATTTGAGGTCAAGTTATTTTTGCGTGTCAGTTCACCTTTAATTGTCAACGTTCCAAAGTTCAGCGTCATACCGTTACTCCTTTTGCCACTTTCTCGTGTCCTGACGTACGTTTTGATCATGTTAGCCCTTTGTCGCTTTCCAAAGCAGAGCATTTTTTAACAGTGTGACTACTGGGGAACGTTCCCCAGTAGACCCAATGCTTTCCCCAGTAGTGAACACCAAAATCACAGAATTTCCCCAGTAGTTGGGGCCCTTTCATCTCTCACTTACCTACATATTTATTTTTTGAAAATCAACTTTTAAATCAAGTTTATTGAATTTATAAACTAAACTCAAGATGTGAACGGTTTCCAAAATTGAAAGATAATGAAAAAACCGCCTTTACGCAAACAAACAGAATTTGTTTTTACTCCCAAATGCCTTTGGTGTTTTATTTCGTATTGTTTATAACATCAGGCTCCTCCTCCCCTTTGTTGTTCTGTTCTTTTTCCGTTCAGGTTTTTTGTCCTCTCGTGTGAAAGTAAAACAGATGTTGCGGATGTCGGCTTTCATTCACCCCCTTGTGTAATTCCTTTGTCTGAATCGAACCTATGTCGTCATTCTGACGCTCTTTGTTTAAATGTGTGATCATTGACAGAACATTCGCTATATATGTATATCAAGGTCAAGGAAAAGTTTAGAAATATTCATTCGCAATTGATTTTCGCAAGTGCAACGAAGAGCAAAATGAAACGAAAACAGAAATGTGGAAACGATAAAAGAAACGAAAACAAGAAGAAAGCGTTAGTTGCAGCAGCATTGGCCCCAGGACAGAAATCATTGGTTGGAATGTTTTCCCAACAAACTGTGAAACCCTCATCGTCGATATCCAAGGAATCAATTGAAGCCCCTGAAGTTGTGCACGTTGGGGAAGAAAAATTTGCTTCCATTCCGAAAGAAAAGAATGAGCAAAATGACAAACAAAACGAAATCAAGCAGCCTGAAAGCAAAGAAGGTGAGGCGAATTCGATGTGGTACAAAGGGAAGAAACTTGACTCAAGCTGGTTAATTTTGTCAGAGTGCTGTCTTAAAATTCATACAGAAATTAGCCTGCGTGCAGACTCAAAATTTCCTACGTGAAATAGTAGAGTCTGCGCAACAAAGTCAAAAAGCTTGTCCAGCCTCCCTTCCATTTGATAAGCCGCAGCGTCAAGCCGACGCCCGCGTACGGTTTTTGTTTTTGTCAGTTGTTTTCCTTTGAGCGGTGTTGGCTAAATTCTGGGCGCGAACTGATGGAAGAGAAAAATGTATTGCATTCTATGTTTTACGGAGATCGACAAAAGTAAATGTTGGGACTTTAATTTGGTAGAAGGGAAGGGGAACTTTAACGTGAAGGAAGCACTGGAACTCTTGGAGGATGTTGTGATTCCATGCACCCCAAAGTCATATGTCTGTAGGGTTTGTCTTCGTATTTTAAAACGCATTCATTGTTCTCGAATGAAAGTAACTGAATTGCAGAATGAAGTTGTTGAGAGATACAAATCCGAAGCTTTGAAACGTGGATTTGCAGTTAAGGAAAAATCTTATAAAAGAGCACTCTTCGCTGATGGTTTTACTGGTGAAGAAAATGCTGAACCACGCCCCGCAAAATCAGCTGTTTCTGAGAGTCAGTTCAAGGCACTCCGTCACAGTTTTTCGTTACAGCAATCGTTTGCCACTACAAGCACACCAATAAAATCTTCTGGAAAAAATAGAAATAACTCTTACGCAACTCCATCTGTGGTTACACCTGAAGATGGAACTAGTGCATCAGATAAATCTAGACCGACTGTTCTTGTAAAGGTTTCTTGGAAATCATGTGCAAAGAAGAAGAATTTGCCTGACGACCTCATATCAGTTGGTTCTATGCTCTGCCGTGGAACATACAAGCAGTTAGCTGGCTCTGTGTGGCGCCATCAAAAATTGCGAGCTCACTTGATTGAACTGTTTTTAAAAGAGATTGACAAGGAGTGCGTAAAACTGTGTGTTGCTAAGGAAAAGCCTGACAAATCAAATCGTGCTTTGAAGATTTCAAAAGAAAAACCTGACTGTAAGAAAGCCTCTGAAGCAGCCAGCTCCCTTAGACTTACTGACAAGGAAGCCATTTGTAACTTCTCTCTTGAAGGCCTGGACAAAGAGCTGCAAGAGAGAGCCCCTCTAACAAGATCCATGCTGATGACAGTCAGTTGGTGTAAAAGTAAAAAGAAGGGTGATGATCTCTTTTTTACTCCAGCTGTCTGTATGGCAGCAGCTGTTTGCCTGAAAAACAGATCCAGACGTATGACGGCAGTACAACTGATCATTTCATTGATTCTGAAACATTCTGGATTCATGGTATGATACACCTCATTACAGTATATGCACATCAAAATCAATAAAGCTATTTAATTGCTAATTAATTGTTACTTATATGATTTAATACAACAATGCTAATCAAATTTGTATTAATTTATCCCTTTTAGGCTACACTCACACGGCTCAGTTCCTTACGGCTTGCTGTTTCACATACTTACTTGTACCGAAAACTGGATGAATTTGGAAAAGATCACCTTTCTGATATAGATAGGAAAGTTTCCATTGATGGAAAATCCCTCTGTGGTTTTCAGCCTGCTACATCTGCAAGAACTACAGTTGCACATGCCCCCGCAAGTGATGGTCGTCAGATTGTTATTGATAACTTCAATTACACATCTGCTCCACATGAAATGACAGAAGAGCGCCAGAACACAGTAGTTAACTGGGTTGGAGCAATGGTAGTTGAGAACAGAGTATCAGGAAACCAGCTCAGTAGTGAAAAACCCGATATTTCACAATTAATACAAATGGATAATGCCCTTTTCCTGCCAAGCGCCATTGACCATAGAAAGCAGCGAGACAACTACATCAAATTGTGTGGTAGGATTGCTGTGAAACATATATCATGTCTGGAAAACTTTACTGATTGTGTTAATCATCACATAAAACATCAGTATAGTTCATTGATGTCCAATCCTACCAAGAGTGTAAGTTAATTTTTTTCCTCCTTATTTCTCATAGACCATATATAAATTTCATTGTCTTCAGTGTCTATTATTCATATCAAAATTGGTGCCTGATCTTTATTTATATAACATATTCCATCGAATCCAACTTCAATTTCTTTTGGTTTCTCAGCATTGAAGAACATGTGTAGGCTGCCTGCTGAACACAGGCTAAAACTAAGTGTACCTCTTTGAATAACAAAATCTTCAATTACCTTAAAATTAACCCTGGGCAAGGTCAATTGCAGATTTTTTCAATTTTCTATATAGACCTACATAATTTGTGCTTTTGCAGATTTTTGCAGAAATGATATATGAAAATGAAAACGATTCAAGTGGCATGCAGGCAGTAATGACACATCTTCACAAGACATTTGTGCCCTGTGATGACAAAGATGATCCAAAGATTTTTGGGCAGCAAGGCATTGTTGGTGATCAGCTTACTGTGGAACGTGGAATAAATGCCTTGCTGCAACTTGAGAATGGATTTACTGCCAGTGATAGATTGGAAGGGCTGCACCTGGAGGTTGCTGACTTTCATGGAGGAATGAAATTTCTGCAAGTGAGATATTTGGGCATTTAAAACATTTCATGGGTGTATATGGTGAAGAAATGTTCTTGTGTGAACAGTTGTTCTAGGAAATCTCAAGCCAAACATAACAAACTTATTGAAAGATGTCAGTCAATCTAATATGGGAAAATTGTGAAACTATAAAAAATGTAGCACAAGATCAAGTCACACAACAAGATCAAGTCAAAATACTGATAAATTCCCTCATTGTCAATTTTATTCAATGATAAAAAATTATTCTCATCTTTTTGGCAAGTATAATGCATTACAATTATACTAGTACCTTCTACTTTGTTTTGCTCATTTTGTTTTGCTTTACTGATTATAATAAGCCCTTAGTAGAATATATTTAATGAAAATATTTAATTTTGTAGGTGGTCTTTGACAATTTCTATGACCCTAAATCAGCAAATGACAAATGCACCATGTTTTCAGACAAAGTCATTATAAACAGGCGCAATGTTAATACAGATGTTAGCCGGAAAGTTGATGGTTGCAAGCAATTTTTTCTTCTTGAAATTCATGCAAGAATTGTTGCTGCTTATTGTGAAATTCTTAAAATCAACTCCCCAAAGGAGGCATCATCTTGTGTGGAGGATATTTCCAAATTGAGCCAAAGAGAAAAAGAAGAGTTCTTGAACAGAGTTTCTGCTGAGGTTGTAGACAGTTTTATTGTCCAGGAAAGCAGAAACAACATTTTGGAGAAACGCCAGACATATGAAGATTGGCTCAACGAGACAAATTTGATCAACGCGCATGGTCTGTTTGTTTGTCGGCAGAAAGGTTGTCATGCTACTTTTAAATTTGATGGTGTCAGGCGCATGCAGCATGAGAAAGCTCACGGTTTACATAAGGCTAATGCAACAAGTCATAAAGAAAAACTGCAAGATGATGTTTTCAATTACCAGTGTGCTTTACTTGACATTGGAATGGTAATTACAAATTTTTTTGATGCTATTTCAGAAGGTGATGGACAACGAGTCATACGTTGTTGGAAATTCATGTTGCTGTTCCTGAGAAATGATGGAGCCCGCAGCAGGAAATATGCCCTTGAAGCACTTTATTTGCTGTGCCAGGTCAATGCACTTTTGTCACCAAGAGATGCACATCGTCTGATTTGGAACCGTTTTCACAAAAACAAACCGGGAAATGGTGGAAACATACCTCTGGACCTTGCATTAGAGCATTACAACAATCTTTTGAAGAATGTTGTTAGAAATCTTGGTCCCAATTCCACCAATAGAGCAGTGATTAATCGATTTTGTAAATCACTTTCTGTTGTGAAGAAGCTGATGTACAGCTTTGACTCAAGCTGCCAAGTGATAAAAGGTTCTGGGAGGCATGTCCAAGCATCAATTGACAATGATCTGAACAAGATTGTTGCCAATTTGATTAAGCACAAGGCATTGAAGCCTGAAGCAGGAAGAAAATTGGTAGCATTTGCAGATGTTAGGCCAAGCTTGTTAGAGGAATTTAATGTTCACGAAATGTACAAGTGGATTAAAGAGCACAAGGAGTATTTCAGACTTCAAAAGGCTGCCAGATAGGTAAAGAATGGTTCAGTTATATTCAAATATTAACATATCAATATGAATAGCATTATCAAGAGAAGAATGAACAATCAATTCATGTTTTGGATGGGTATTTTTCAGTATAAAAGTTTTATTTTTGTATATATCATCTATTAATCTTTGTACCTAAAAATTGTCTTAATGTCTACTAATTGCAAAGCAAACAAAACTTCACCCTGCTTTATCACTGTAAACACAATTTTTAGTATTTTCTAATATATATATATAAAAGGAACTGTTATTTTTCTATTGTTTTCACTTTTGTGTTGAAACAATTTAATCACCCTCCAATGAAAAAAGTGAAATAAAAGCATGTATAGCCTACATACAGTACTTAACACTCTATGGCAGACCATGAAGCAGCAATCTTTAAGGATTACTCTCAAAACTAGATGATGGTCTAGAAAAAGATTAAAATGCTTGGTCATATTACTTTTGTCCCTTATAATTAATTATTTTCGCACTCTCTTTCATTAAACTTGTTTTTGCACCAATTTTTACGTTGCCTCCCCTTTTCCCATCATGTAATATACATTCCATGAGAACAACTAAATACTATTTCAATGTTCACATTTCCATTGGTTCCACTTCCTCATCAATTGTTGGTTTTATATTCTCATAGTTCAGAATATCACTTAATGATTGATTGATGGGTCCAGATTTGTCCAGTGCCTCCATTCCTGCAGCCATATCTTGAAGCTGATCTGTATCATCTAGAATATCAATTTCACTGTCATCTCTTACTGCTAACCAAGTATCTTCTAGTTCATCTTCAGCATCTTCTGTTGCTAGGTTTCTTGCTTCATGTAACTCATCTGGTGGTAGGTCACCAAATACATCACTAACAGCAAGAAGAATTTTGACTGCATGCTTCATTCGCCAAATTTCGACAACAGCGAATACATCATCTAATGTGAAGAGATGATCACAATGTCTCAAAACCTGCCAAATATGGAAATCTGTAAACTCTAAACAGATACTTGGGAATGAAACTGATACATGTGGAATTGATTGTCTGTGTGTGTTTTTGTATTCAGTCAATTTTACCTTTAAATTATCCTTTTCTTCCTGTGAAACAGATCTCTTTCTTTCACATATCTGTGCTTTATTTGATGGCCTGTTGAATTCTAATGTCCCACATTTTTTCTGAACTAATGATGGACAACTACAGTTTTTCAAACACACATCACAACAATCACCAGGTGCTACTGCACCATGTGGACCAGGAAAACTATCCTGAAGAAACTTTCTTCTGCATCCATCAGCAACAACATACTGCTTCATTTCTGACTGACAGTGGCTTGTTAAAAAGCCATTATATAACAAATAGCAATGACTTTGCTTACTATCCCTTCCTGCCCGTCCACATTCCTGAAGATATGACTCAACAGTTTTTGCTGGCCCAAAATGGATTATTCTATGCACATTTTTACAATCAACTCCCATTCCAAAAGCCACTGTTACAATTATTATTCTCAAATGGCTGTCCTCTTTATTAATTTCTTTGAGAATGTGATCCTTGACTGATGCTGGTGTTCCAGCATGAAACATTTCAATTAGCCTTGCAGTTGGTATGCATGAATCACCATTATAAAATTTGTCAGCCAACACAATTTCAAACATTTTCCAAATCAAAGCACATTGATTTCTAGTTTGACAAAACATAATTGTTCTTTTTGTATCAACACCATAGTTCTTCACTTCATCAATGACTTCAGAAAAAATAACCTGCAATTTTGTGTCATTGCCTATGTACTTGCAATGAAAAACAATATTGGGTTTCACTGGACTTTTCTCTACAATAAAGGTGCTAAACATCCGCAAATTTAGTGCATTGAAAATTGATGCCTTGGTAGACTTTGAAGCTGTTGCAGTGAAAACAGCAATTTTAACACATGAACCAAGAAGTGCTCTAAACTCTCCAACTAATCCAAACCATTTTCTGAAAGGAGTTCCTTGTGTTGCAGTTAGGCCCCTGCAAAATAGAGAAAAATCATATATAGTATTTAATTAATTTCATGTACTTAACATCTAAATTAAGCCATTTACAAGCTACCTAAACAAAATATGCTGTACTGTTAGATACATAAAGACTGAAGAACTTTGATGATTTGCTCTGAAATGTGATAAATTGTTTATTGCCTCTTAGTTTAAAAATGTTTGTTGCAAAAAGATTTGATTGAAAAATGGATTTAAGCTGAATTTTTACTGAATTTATGAACTGCCTATAAAAACCTAAATAAAGCATATATTTGTTTCTACAGGATTTTTTATAACATCTTGAATAAACACATTTTCAGAACTACATTGCTTCAGGGCATGTTTCTCTCTAATCACGGTGCTCAGTTACTTGACACAATCAATCTTTGTGTCTGGTGAATCATTTATTCTTGCATATAAGATACAAATGCAGGCATTTTATTCATTTAGTCATATTAATATTATATGGTGGCGTACAGAAATATCAGGGACTGCATCTGCGTTTTTATGCATATTTTATTTGAATAATGTTTCCTTTAACAAGTTTTTCTCAGTGAACAAACCTTGCTGATAGATTTTGCTTTTGTAGGCAAGAGTGCAATGTGTAGTATATTTTCATAAGTATCTAAATTGTGTACATTTTCATACCTATGCATAAAATCACAAACAGTGGCAAAGCACAAGAAACATTAAAAAATAAAAGGTGAAAATAAGGCATGGTATTTATATTCAATTCAATTACTACTTCAATTACAGCTAAAGCGCACTAGGCTACTTTAAAATTGTCATAATTACTGCAATTTTTCGTCTGATGACATTTGACAAAAATCTATCGGTACATACCACTGTGCAATACAATGTGCCTCGTCAAATGCAACTGCAACGCATCGTTTCTGGAAACATGTGGACATGAGAAATGTACGCCATTTTTCAGAAGCTAGCATTGATTCAGGCGAAGTAAAAATGTAAGTGAAATCTCCGCCATATTCGTCGTCTTTCAAAATACTGTTCAGAACCTCTTCCGTCTGATCTGCATATATTGCAGCTGCTTTTAACCCTAAAGCATTTAATTTCATCACTTGGTCCAGCATTAATGATTGCAGCGGTGAAACAACCAGAATACAACTGGAAAATGGATTTTGATCTAGCAAATAGTCTGCAACGAGAGGGATGGCTTGAAAAACGAACGATTTCCCATATCCAGTTGGAGCACTGAAATAGAGGTCTTTGCCTCTGAAAAATCCACGAATTGCTTTCTCTTGATCAGGATACACTTCATCTACGTTAAGAACGAATTTAGCGAAGCTTAATCCTTCAGCGAACGATTCTTGGTTCCACGCGATGTTCTTTCTACCTGTTGATGTTTCAGTCGCCATCATAGAAAAATAAATTTAAAAATGGTTTCGCTTGACACACACACAGCCCTGCAACGCGCGGCGAGAGCGGAATACCGCTCCATGTAGAAATACAATAGAGCCTCCAAGAAGCCAATCAAATCATATGCCAACTTTTTGGCATATGATTTGATTGGGTACAAAACAATATTAACACAGTGGTTTGAACAATAAACAAAGAGATATGGTTGTTCTTCAAAAAGAGGCCGGACAAGCTTTCACACTTTGTTTCGCAGACTCTACTTTTCCCATAGTCTTTTCCCATGGGCTTTTTGGTACTATGAATTCCCAATCAATGCCTTTATCTACGACTATGCTTTTCACGTTTTTCGAATTAAGAATCTGCTTGAATTAAGAAGCAGCCTTAAAGCA